AAAAGTTGAATAAAGAAATAAGATATGAAGAAAAAAATCCATTTTAACCAAAAGTTACTACAAAAAGTTATAAATTACCTAAGTTGACAACACTGCCTGTTGTTTTATTGGTGTTTTACCACCTAGGTCATATCATACCATCGATACCATATCGGATATGCAGCATCGATACCTACGCGGTATCTATTGAAAAGTATTGATACTTACTTGTATCAAATAGTTTTAAAATACCTCAACATAATCGTCCTTTTTATAGATTTTTTGAACAGATTTGATACTATTGGAGGTCAATAGCAATACTCTGTTTACGAAAGAAAGAGAAGCAGGTTCAGGCATAAAAAACGATGCATAGTTAGGTTTCACTTCAAAATTTTGCTAGCAGGGCTTTCTCCAGACAGATCTTTGACTACATAAAGTTAGTAGTTGTTAGCAATACTTATTGTAATACGACAGGGACGCCGCGCCAGTGGGAATTTTTCATGAGACAGACTTGTGACTCCTTACTACAGAGTAGACAGTCGAGCACGCGCGTTTTCAGTGAATGACTGACCAAGTACCGATACAAATACTTTCTTCACGATACTTCTTGTTTCGCTTCTAAAGTATTGATACCAAAATACTTGGTCTCGAAAGAAAAGTATCGAGTACGTACTTGTATTTAATCATAACGTACATCCCTACACACACACATACACACTAAAGAGTAGTACACACTACAACCTAAAATGACAAGCTAAACGTGAGCGTGCGTGAGTCAGTCGCTAATTACAATAACTTTATCTGTTTCTTGCTTCTATCTACAGAATAATGAAGTTAACACGCAAATCATGTCTATTACGACATCATCATTAGTACTAAATATTAGATCAATTGACAAGAGCACATACGTGTCGGCGAAATGTATTGTTTGCAATGGTTGATCCCCGTACTGTTGATTCCGAAGCCTGTAAACCCAACGTTGGTAAATACTCACGTCATGTTCATGGTTTTGTACCTAATTGGATTTTTCTTGGAGAGGAAGCCATGTACAGTGTGCAGTGTTGTTTTCCTAGCAGCAGTTATCCTAATCTGTTATAGCGGTATTGGTAACTGTTTATTTTGGGCCACTCATTGTGACGGAGAAAAATATGACACCATATAGACTTTAAAGACTTCCAGAGTTACCTACAGTGCTCAAAATGCAACCAAGTGTTCCTGTCTCCACTCAAAAAGTGGAAGATGTCACATGTGGAAAGGCCATAAGCCTTTCCACCGAATATCTGAATGGTTTTTGTACATATATTATTTTGTATAATATTGGTAATGTCAAGATATTGGAATTCTTATATTTTGTCTTTTATAATTGTTGTGTAAAGTATGGCAATGCCCAAATGGAAGTTATGTGCCGATCTGTACTTATTTATAATTTGTTATGTTGGATATTAAAAATGTGTTGATACAATTGTACAGTTATTTTTAATGACCAATTTAATGTAAAGTAAAATTTGACTAATTTAATGTAAAGTAAAATTTGGTATCAATATTTTTTTTTGTTTCCTTTTTGATCTATCCAGTTTTTAATGGTTTTTACTCAGAGACGGGTTGTTTTCTTGCCCATTTTTCAATGAAAATGCATTTAAATGGGTGTGATTTGTAAATCTCTTAACTTTGATTCAATTATAATATTGCCATCACATTTTCATGGTCTCCTAAGCTTTATTGTCCATGTAGAAATAATAAATAGGCCATAGTAGAGTAAAGACACTACAAAATCTTGTTTAACAAGTCTACTATTTTAAGCAGAAATTTATAGCCCAACTAACACTAAGCCAATTTTGGAATGTCTGTCACCACAACCTTTTTTGGAGTCTACTTGCCCCTAGATTCAATCATCAATTTTATTATGTAATTTATTCACTTATATTTTTTACTAGCTTTCCGCCAGCGGCATCGCCCGCGTGGTCCGCTGGTACCTTACTCATAGATCTTAACTCATCCATCCCATCTCAGCCTTGGTGACGTCCACTTCGCAACGGGCCGTGCAGCAGAAATCGTAATATTTAATTTCGCCATAACTTCAAAACCAATCGTCCTATTTTAATCATTCAAAGACCAAACATTATCTACATAAACTATACTTAGTTATGAAATTTTGATAAGGATTAATAGCATGAGTAAAATAAACGCATTTAAACGTAGTCGAAAAAAATTCTATATTATTAAATAAAAAAACGGTTGTTGTGCCTCACTCGACATAGATAAGTATAGTGTGTCACGGACTTTTTTGAAGATATTTATAAGCTCTTCAAATAATTAGAACATTTTATGGTTCTATATTTTATAGATTAGGCAGCATACACAAAATAAGTAACTTTTCTGGTTGATTTTTATACCTTGTGTCCGAAAAACCTAAATATCTTACGGAACCCTATTTTTTCCAAAATAAAATATAGCTTATGTAACTCGTGGATAATGTAGCTTTCGAATGGTGAAAGAATTTTTAAAATCGGTTCAGTAGTTTTTGAGCCTATTCATTACAAACAAACAAAGTTTTCATCTTTATAATAAGTAGTATATTTTATATTGATGTAATTAGTTATTTGTAAATTCGTTTTATACTTCTGTCTTAATTAAATAGGTTAGGATTCATGGATCACGAAAATTGTTATCTAAAAGGCTATTTCAATTACTATACTGATAATAATTATTATATTGCATGTTATAATTAGTACGGGTAGGTAATTGTACATACATATATTTAAGAATAATTATATCATTGATTTGATTCTACAATCAAATTCTAAATAAATATTACTAGAGCTAGTCATTAAGCTATTATAGCTTAATGACTAGCTCTAGTAATATTATTTTAATTATCCTATTAATATTATAAATGTGAAGTTTCTTTGTTTGGATGTCTATCCGTCAATCACGCCGAAACTACTGAACAGTTTTTGATGAATTTTGTTATACAGATAGCGTTTGATAGCTGACTTAAATAATAAGATACTTTTTACACCAATAAAAAGATTTCTCAAGGAATCACGCGGGCGAAAGTTAGTTTCCAATATTTTTTGTGCAATAGTTTACAACCTTTTATACCTAGATCCTTTCACTAAAATGCATGGATGCATGGCGATAAGACCATCTATTAAGGCTTATACTACTGGGGGCCCCTTCCAGCTGGGGGCCCGTGGAATTTTGATGACTTGCCACTCTTTTGTTACGCCACTGCTACTCACTGTCTGTAACCGGCAGACAACGTCGTAAATTCTATACCTTTACACTGGTCGATAATTACTACATGCAAGTTTGGAGCGAAGAAACCCGTATTCGAGAAGTCTCATAATAGGGCAATACATTAACGAAAAATCGAAGTTAATTGACTGATGACACTCTTCAAATATTGCATACGGAAACACTCGCAAGTCGTAAAAAAATTATAAACCATCTGTAATTCAATTTAAAATTCGATCAGCGTGTTTGCTATTAATTTTTTAGCACTATGAAGGGTTGTTATCTGCTCATTGAATTCAGCAGGGGTTGCACAATAAAGTATCCAAATAAAATCAAATTGATGAGGAAGTATTTAAAAAAAACAAAGGCCCTCAAAAAGCACCTCCACTAGATGGCGGCTCTTACAAAAGTTGATTTTTGCAGGAAACGAATGGACCAAAGACAGTCATTTCCGTACCTTTTAACTAACATATTAAAAAACTGAAATTTAAAAAGTTCAAAACTTAGGTATCAATACAAATACAAAAAAGTACAAATAGAATATAAGATGTTTATTGAGTTTTGAAAACTAATTTACTTTTAAACAGAAAACCGGAAAAGTTATCATGGAGAAATCAAGAACGCACCGTAGCGACATCTAGTTTGATTTCGGGAATTATTTTTTTTAATACTGCCTAATTACCTAGTTAATATAAAAATAAATAATTCAAATACACGTAAAAAATATTTTACTCAATTAATACTAATAAATACATACATATATACTTAACAAAAGCCTGACTTAAGCTTGTGTAGCAGAATTAAAATAGAATTATTTTAAATCCCTCTTAAATCGGTCCAATGTCTGTGATATTCTTGTTTTTTCTCTTGATTTATTGGTTAGTTGTCTGTTATGGGAAAAGTATTTAAATTGTCAATCTTTTATTTTTCTCAGAGTGTTATTCAATGAAGGAAAAACCTATTTTTATTCATAAATTTAAATTGTCCCACGTAAACCAATCAGTCACATGAAATTTGACAATGTTTACGTGTAGTTTATTGAAATGTGACGTCATACAATTCTGTCATGGCCTCCAGGATCTCAGTTCTTGTAATCAATTGATTTGAATGATAAGTTCTTGGAAAAATAAAATACACTTACAATTTATTTAAAAACAAAAAATACCACATAATTATTGCTTACCTATAATTATTAGTTACATACCATTTTTAAAATATTTATAACTGTCAAGTAGCCATGTAAATAATAGCTTATGCCACCAGCATATGATTTTGCTTCCCGTAGGTGAAACTTTTTAAAATCAGTACAGTAGTTTCAGAACCTATGCAATGCAAACAAACAAATAGTATTAGAATATGTTAGTATTTAAAACCTGTGCTTTATTTAAAATACCACATTTGCTAATAATTTTGTAGTATATATTTTATTTAAGTAATTTATTAATATCAGCATCAGCATCTACTATTGGTCTGTAAAAACCAGCATCCTCTGATATTGGAAAAACCTGCATCAGCAACAACACTGGTTCAACTTCAACTACAAGAGATGAACCCCACCATCTTTGGTAGTAGTTATTTTGTAGATTAGTATTTGTTGATTCCTAAATTTATTTGAATTGTTTTGTTTATATTATAGGAAAAATTATTAATGACAATTTAGAAGTAATTAAAGTGCTAACTATATCATTTTCACTGACAGAACTTCAAGTTTTTGATAAAGGAAAAAGCATAATAAGCATCAGAGTATATGATAAGTTTTTTGTCCAATTAAAACATCAAATTTTATGTGTTAAATTATATATTCAGAAGCTGGTTACACAGTGATGGTCATCTTTGACGGTTTCTTAAGAGATGTTTATCTTATAATTTGGATATATAGTTGTAAATATAGTGCAACTTAACCTAAAGTACAGCTAGCGGTGTTACATCTGAAACAAAAACTTACTTATTAATAACAATATAAAAGCCAATAAAATTGAACAGAGCGTAGACTTAAAAAATAACAAAATAATAACAATAATATGATATATTAATATAGTTTATGTTTTAATGTATCATTCAAAAACCTAACTTTAAATTCATACATACTCTTTAAAATTATCAAAAAAATGTAGCACAGTTTCTAGGAAAGTCCAAAGTAATATGTACCTTGACTAGCTGGTACTATGCATTAATATAGCATAGCTGCAAAAGTGTTCCAAGTATGGACTTGGACACTGATCGACCATGCCAATATTCTATTCCAATAAAAATAAATTATAACAGCATTCACAAAAGTGAGCAAACAAACTAAACATGATGCCTTTTTTATCATTCATACATTAATGGTTAAAATCGCATAATCCTCCATTCTAACCTATTTGGTTTTGGGTAGTTTTCTAGTCTCTTCTTTTGTCAATAATACTTCATTAGAAATTCATTAATTGCATCTAGGAAACTGAAGAACGTCCAATTAACACACCACACTTAACCTAAAAACAAAACACGATGCAAGAACGCTAAATATTTGTTTTACTAGACATGGTTAACTCTTACTTCTTATCGTAGTCTCCTAGCTTCACGCTCAGACTCGAGGAGCGTGAGAATATCTCCGTCACGAACTGGCCCCTTCACGTTCCTGATGATTTGACGGCTGGTTTCTCCAATGAACTCAACTTTGACTTGGGTACACTGACCCTGGGAGCCGGTACGACCCAAAACCTTGACCACGCGGGCGAGAACGTTTGGCTTATCCATTTTGGCTAGGTAATCGAGCTAAACCCGTAAAATACACGTGCACTAAAAGCTGGCGTGTGCTGAAAAGAAATTGACATGTAGTGACAATTTCTCTATGGCGAATAATGTTGTGCCACCTTGACGAACTCGTATTGTTTCGATGGAATTGATTTAATTCAACATTTAAATAACCGGTAACTATCGAAAGTATGCTGGAAATATTTTTTATTTCCATCAATAAAATAAACATAAAATAACACAACTGTTTATAAAATAAAAATTAGGTTATTTAAATTTAAAAGGTTTTATCTTATTTATTATACATATAACTTATAATTTATTTGATGTAGCTGACTTCACTTATTATTCTTTTGAAAACATTGGACTTCGTAGTATACCTTCACAACTTTTTAACCAGAACCGGTCCTTCCATATAGACAAACTAGGAAACTGCCTAGGGCGCTCGTATTTGGGGGGCAACATGGCATGGCAAAGAGATTCTAAGGAGACCAAATTCTAAGGGACTTTTACTAATGACAAAATTACAATTTTCAATCGGTGTGTGTTTCTATAATTTATTTAGGGCGTCAGGTTTTATTGAGCCGGCGCGTAATGATGTACTGTCTCTTTTGGCGTGCCCCTGGAACATATATTATTTTCTGGTGTATATAATATTGAATTAATGCCATTTAAGACTCCACAATGGCATTTTTTGCCTAGTGATTAACTATTAAAAAAAGCACAAAAGCACTTTCACTAGATGGCGACCAATAGATTATACACTTAATGTGGCGACCCTAACAAAAGCTGATTTTTGCAGGAAACGAATGGACCAAATATTCATTTCTGTTCCTTTTAACTAACATACTCGTATTAAAAAACTGAAATTTGCAAAGTACGAAACTTAGATATCAATACAAATATGAAAAAGTACAAATGGAATATGAGTTGTTAATTGAGTTTTGAAAACTAATTAACTCATTTACATGAAAGATACCCGGGAGGGTTGTCTTGGAGAAATCAAGAAAGTACCGTAGCGTCATCAAGTTTAGTTTCGGGAACTAATGCTTATTTTTTAAATACTTCCTCATTTATTCCACCTTAAGCGCTGATTTCACTACCCACGGGCACGATTTGACACCAACCGCCCTAAATTGAGGCCGATAAATCGGGCACGATTTATCGGCCTCAATTTAGGGTGGTTGGTGTCGTTGTGATTACACTGCACTAGATCGCCGCCCTAACTCAGTTGGCATGCAAACGTGGCGTTAAAAGGACGGCTTCTACGCTCACAAAGTACAAAAAAATTGGCGTATCCATTATTTTAACTGCAGGCGTAAATAAAAAGAAAAAGAAAATGTTGGGTTAAAAAATATTTGCTTCTTAGAGACAAACTATGCAGTTTGAACTACTTCAGAATGAGTTTTGCACAATTTGATCATATATTAAACTTAGTCATACCTTATATAAAAAAAAAACCTTAAGATTTTTAGCAACGGGAAATGCATATTATGACTTAAAGTATAAATCATTGATATCAGAACCCCTGCTATCACAAATTGTACCAGACACATGCAGGGCTATCTATAAATGTTTAAAACATTATATAAGGCTAAGAAAAATAAATAATATTAAATTACATTATTTGTTTTTCTTTTGAGAAGACATTTTTCTCTGTTCGCAAATTTTAAGTTCAAAGTTCTCTAACACCCTAACAGCGATCACATTGCCCGATAAATCGGCCCTAACGCACTAACTAGTGAAATCGGGCGGTCGGACACTCACAATAACTCTCTAACAGCGATTAGACTACCCAATTTACAGTGTACCCGATAGATCGTGCCCGATAAATTAGGAAGTGAAATCGGCGCTTAACTAGTGAGATCGGGCGGTCGGGCGGTCGGGCGCTCACTTTCACCCGATATCGGGACCCTAACTCTCTAACAGCGATTAGACTTCCCAATTTAGTGTACCCGATGGATCGTGCCCGATAGATTGGGTAGTGAAATCGGCGCTTTACAAGAGCGAAGACTTAGGATATCAAGTTTCAATATATTTTGACTCATATAATAGACTCACTTACGACGGTTTTATAAGTTCATGCAAAAATGACTACGTCTTTTATGATTTATGAATGAGCGTTTAAAGTAAAAATTGTTTAAGTAGTAGCGTGTGTAAATTTTTACTGAATCGACTCGGTGAGTCGGTTCTTATGTAACAAAAGACAAGTAAATAAAATACATATTTATTTATATTATTTACTTGTCTTTTGTTTTGGAATCATATATTATGATCAAAGTTTAAAATGCAATAACATTACGAAAATAGTGTAAAGTTATTTTTACAGTGCAAATTGTCAGTGCTAAACCCGAACAAAGTGAAACAATTCTCATTCCATGATTTTTAATAATTGTACTTTGTTTACATTATTTTGATATGTTTATACTAATAAATGGCTGGGTAGATGTTTATGAAAAATCATTACCTACTTGATGGACCGCGGCGGTCACTTGACCATGTTTACATTTCGTGGAATGTACTTGTGGGTAGTTGAACCAAACATATTTTTGTTATATTTGTTTTGTTCTATCAATGAATACGTCGTGTATTGCTGTTCTCTTTTGTTTTTGTTTCATATTGCTGTTGTTTTGAAATATCTAGAAACCGTTCTCTTCGCGAAAGTGCAATATTAGAAGTACTGCAAAATATATCGGAGGACCAATCAGATTGTGAACCAACTGAAGAATTCACATTCTGCATCAAGATTCAGAGAGTGAAAAATCATTGGATGATGACACTGTTAGTGTTTCTGATGGTAGGTATACAGAATTCTAGTTAATTATTGGTTTAATGATATTGAAGATATTCAGACAAACGGAAATCTTTATATTTATTTTATTGTTTTAGATTCAATACCTCTCTCGGCTTTACGTAGTACAAACGAAAATCTAAGAAGGGGAAGAGGTCGTGTTCGAGGTTCAAGGGTATAAACACCACAATACTAATGTCACGGTATCTTTTACAAAAAGGTGTTTTAAAGTAAGCACATTATCCGCATGGAAACTTATTGTTGATGACTCCATTTTGTGTTCTGTAAAATGTACTGAAATCGAAGCCCGTCGCCAGCTTGAAGATATCAGTTGGTCACTCTCATTGAATGAACTTGAAGTTTTCATTGCAATTACTAATAACGTTTCTTCGCCATACTGTCTGAAATGCTTGAAGAGGTAGCTGAGGGTCCTGTTAGCCTGACACGCAGTTATCAACGCGGGCAATGCGTTAACAAAGAGAATATATTATTTTCTTTCAAATGAAACAAACGTTAAAAAGTAACATTTTATTAAATAATGTCTCCTCTTCTATGTTGTTAAAAATCTCTGCACACTGTTTGTTCCATAATTATACTCTCATTACTCACTTAGCAAATACGAACCACACAGTTTATACACACAGCAACTGAAATAAGAATTGACAGAAACACCATCACTAACTAATATTTCCAATCAGAATTTAAATAACATTCTTTTCTATTTGTAGATCCAGTAATGAGAATGAGATCTTTATACCTTTTTAAATAAACAATGTTAATCAATAGAGAAACCAATTAAGTATCAATTCTTATTTCAGTTGGAACTCAAACACACTAACTCCTAGCACCCGACTTGTGCTGTCACTTTGACATTGATTAATCATCTCCCGCGGACCTCTTTGCCTTCCTCATGCGTGGTGATTGTTTAGGCGATTTGGGAGATTTTTCTGCAACAAAACATACATACTCTATATTATGACTGCAAGATCAAATTCAAATTAAATTATTTGTCAAATTTTTAAATACACAAACAAGGGTGTCATAGCAAAGTCAAATTACAATGAAAATCTGCCTAGTTTGGCATACAAATATTTCATAAAATTCGTCAAATAGATAAAATTATGTCATGAATACATAATAAATGTCAATAATTAATTGAGCAAATTTGAGCTTATTTGAGCAAAATTTTCAACACCTATTCTTAAATATGTGGCAGTACTTACTGAGCTGATTGACAACCTCCTTCGGTAGCCAGTCATAGTCAACATTGTTGGCAGTGCCAGTCTCTAGGGGTTTAGGTGCAGCGCGCGGCGAACGACGGCGAGCTAGCGACGACAACGCTTGCTGACCCAGCACTAACGCTAAAACACATGCTGCTCCCAAAAACACGTACAAGAAGAATGTTTCACCATCTAAGCCTTCTGACACTTCAACAATATTCACTGTCTGATTGTAAACAGCTTCCTGGTAAACAAAAAATATACTACCTTAGATTGAAATGAAAATAATCATATTGTGACTTGTATATTTTCCTTTCCAGTTTGTATTAGTAAAAATTGTAGTAGAAAAAAAATGTTTCGTTGACAAATATTCCATACTAATCTTATAGAAAGTTAATGTGAAGAATAAAACCACAACCCAATGTAAACAGTGGCAAGCCAAACAATTGCTCAGAGTGGTAGATATTACAGATAGTGACCCCGTTGTTCAATATTATAAAAATTACCATGCATAGTTGAAAACAAACCCCTTATTGAAGGTTTTGTCTGAAAAATACCAATTTTTTAACTGATTCAATAAGAAACAACATAGTATGCCTATGACTTAATTAGTGGTTTAGAGTAAAGGGCTCATATTATTATTATTGCCCAGAGCAGCCACATAGCTGGATTGGGCCCAATAACTACTGATGTCAAAATAAAATAATAGAAACTATAGTATAGTCCGATCTATAAATCAAATTTAAGGTGATATTATACGCCAACTCAATAAATACCTGGTAGAAATTGCCACTAGCATCTCTGTAGTTAAGCTGAACATTAAGGCCGAATGGTCGGCCAGCAAATGCTTCATTTGGGATAAAAGAGTATGCAAAAGTAGCCTCTTGTTTAGGTTTCACTTCACGGTTATAAGGCAGAGCGGTAAAGTTCTGGATGTAATATGTGTAATCCATGGGATATCTGAAGGACGCTTCCATAGATTCTACTACATAATCCTCAGCACCTTTGTTGATGAAACCCACTAAGAACTCGACTGGATATCCAGCTTGCAAGTCTGTGGAATAATATCAATAACTTGTGTTAGAATGTCTGTCCAACGCATGTACTCAGACCTGTTCTTTTGGGCTTCCTCTTAAAAATGTATCTCTGTCTTATTTGGGTTACTTTACTTTTAATTTAACTCTAAATTTTTTTATTCTAAGAAAAACTTGCATTGAAAGAAACATTTATACATAAACAATAATATCAATTTACTTCTCTAATAAAAAAAATATATAAACAAATGTTGCACTGTTTCTAGGAAAGTCTGAGGCAGTTTATACCCTGACTAGCTGGTACAATGCATTGTTCTAGCACTGCTGCAAAAGTGTACCAAGCATAGACCTGGACACTGATCTACAGTGCAAATGTAGTCTGTACTAAAAACTCAATTACTGATTAACAGACATAAATCAGTATCATATTTGAGTTATTCATCATGTCTTTAAATATAGGGAAATCATGCTTTTATTTTGATTGATTTCAAATAAATAAAGACAGAATAAATCCAATATGCACTTACCAAAAGCAACATCTCCATAATTTGGTATAGGCTTTGTAAATAAGATTGTAGTATCAACATCCTGTGATGACTTTACAACTAAATCATCATCATCACCTAATGCATCTTCACCAACTACTTGATTGTCTTCACCTTCAATATCCACAACATCATCTAGCTCATCTTCATCTGCTCTAGCAAATATTTTATTTGCTGAAATAAAATAATTAAACAAGTTGTCAATACAATAATAAATGCTCAATATAAAAATATAGTTATAGTTTTTTCAATTCCAAGCATATGTAAGATTCATAATTTAAATTCAGAAGTTTCATTATAACATTTCTATATATATTTAATTAGAGGAATAACGAGGAACATATTTTAAATAGGTTTGTGTTCTTAAAATATTAAATACTTTTAAACTTACTCAATATAATTGTTAACACAAATAGAAAATTAAAAGACATTTTCTCTCATGAAACTGGAAGACTAATGCCACGTACCAAAGCAGAATACTTTCTTCTTCCCAAATTATATAAATGTAACCGGGACACTTACCATTTTGGAAGCAGAGTAACACCGCTGGCAGAACTAGTAAAGTTAAATATAACAATTTCATTTTATAATAATATTTAATGCCACTATTAATACTTTACAAATGAAGGTGACTATCAAAGTGGAATACAAGCCATTCACTTTCGTTGAACAAACGGCCCAACGCTACAAAAATCTAGAGGCAAAATGTCAATTTTCTCCAACTCGATTGACGTGGAATGTTTTGTCATAAGTAGTGATGTGATGATCTTCAAAAACCGCCTATTGGTCAATGAGAAAGTATTTAAAAAATAAGAATTAGTTCTTGAAATTTTACTAGATGTCACTAGCGAAGTATGGATTTTGTTTATGATATTCATTCAAATTTTGTTTCTGACGTAATAAAAGTAAATTGAGTATCGAAAATTAATAAGTATGACATCGTTTTGTGTTTCTTATAATATCTAACTTTCAAATTAATTTTAATTTGTTTTAATCGTAAGTTTAATTTGTTTATTATGTTACGTGTAAAGGAACGATGTTTGGTTTATACGTCAACATTAGTGATGAGCCAACTTATTGGTTGCACGTAACTTTCATTCGATTTCAGATGGAATTAAGATCAAAAAGCGGAGCGCAAAATTCAGCTTGTATTTGTATGTGTCATTATGCATTCCACAAAACGAATGATATTAATATAAATGTCAAAATCAATTCAGTCTAGGCTGTTTCATATTACTTGATAAAGTCGAAAACTTTGCCAATGATTCGCAAAACTAAGGCGGGAGATCTCGTACTGACAAGAATCGGCAAGAAACTCAGCAAGGGCTGCATTTTTAATTTCAACTATACAACTCAACTATACTATATTTGAAGGAACGTAACGACTTAACGCACACGACACCACCGCAGAGACTTTAAGAGAGCATGAATACTCTAGGTACGTAGTAAATAATATATTTCAATAAAACTGATTTCTAGAGAAAGTTGTGTAGGAAGACTATCTATTATTAACAATATTATTGATAGAACCAAAAAGCACATACCCACCGTACGAATTAACACATGGCTCGACGTCCGCAGTCGACATGCAAGATCAGTAACAATAATATAATAACTGTGCGTGTCTTTGTGATTTTGAAATTTAAATTATAACCTTGCTGTTCGTTTAGAACTGATGTTTCTTGTTGATTACTGAATGTTTATTAATATGATTTAATTATGAATATAAGATTTAATAAAGGATCATAGTTTTTTAAAATCGCAATTTCAAAAGCACAAGTTATTTGCACGTTACACTTTGCACAAACGTTGTTAGATCTAAATATCAATGAATAAAAAAAAAGCACAAAAAAGCACCTCCACTAGATGGCGACTCTAGCAAAAGTTGATTTTGCAGGAAACGAATGGACCAAAGACAGCTATTTCCGTTCCTTTTAACTAACATATAAAGAAACTGAAATTTGAAAATTTCGAAACTTAGATATCAATACCAATACGAAAAAGTACAAATAGAATATGAATTGTTTACTGAGTTTGGAAAACTAATTTACTTTTAAACAAGATAGAAAACCTGAAGGGTTGTCATGGAAAAATCAAGAACGTACCATAGCGTCATCTAGTTTGATTCTGGGAACTAATGTTTTTTTTAAATACTTCCTTATTCATGACGTCAAACCCATAGACATAAAAGAAAAGGAACGGCCATACCTACGAAAAAAGCGTATATGCCTAAACTTGAAATGCAAATTCTTCGATGGCGGACTGTCATAGGGCGCGACCCATGATATCGATATTTGTATCGACATTGAAGCCATATTAAATAAAAGTTAGTATTTCGTGAAACTGCTACAAAACTACTACTTATTAAATAAAGTAATATAATTTCCATTGTTAGGGGCATGGCTAAACTATTACCTATTATACTTCTATTCGTTTCACACTTACGTACCAATCCTATTTATGATTATTATTAATTAAATAGATAAATTCACGCCAGTTTTAAGGAAATAATATTTTGTTTAAAGTGGCGTGAATTTATCAATTATTATAAGTCTTTAAGCAATCTTTTGCTCGTGTTTTGTTGGACATCTAAAAGTCTCATTGTTCTTGCGACTCCGTTGCGTCAGTATAGTAATTATAACCTATGTTACCTGCGTATGATGGCGCTTCCCACCGGTAAAAGATTATTCGTATTTCAAATTTCATCAAAATCCGTTCAGTAGTTTTTGCATGAGAGTAACCAACATCCATCCTCACAAACTTTCACATTTATACTATATAAATATTATTTTATAATTAGATTGTACCTCAATAAATATGTTTCTTTATCCTCTAATATAGACAATTTTACGTAGTTTTAAGAACTATAGTACCAAAATATATATCCTAAAAGTGAAACAATAATATCAATCGTGTTTTATAATTATTTCCATATATATTGTAAAGTTGATATTTTGCAATTATAATTAAATAGTTTTTTTTAACATAAGTTTAATTTTGCATCCACAGGAAGTGTTACCACTGTCCAAGATAACTGCCATGGTAACTATAATAAGCTTTAAATGAGTCGATTGACGAATGAATTATGATGTTTTTTTTTGTCTGTTATATATTTTTTATTGTTATAGTGAAAAGTGACATTTTGGTCCAATGAAGTCATTTTTTATTTTTCAGTACGAAATTAAACAGGGTGCAAAAGCAGTACTTGCAGTTTCTTACCGGTTCCCCTTCTTCTTTTCTCGGTACAAGGTTTCCCGTAATAGATTTACGAACTATAAGCACAGAGTTTCGACTTTCTTATATGCTTGTAACTAGTAAGCCAACTTGTCTATAAATTTATTCAATAAATTGTATTGACTGAATTAATTTAGCTTACTTATCATTAAGTGAGATACCGTGCGTACTGTGTCACAATTTTAGTTCAGAGCATCTTGTTTAGTAGTAAACATAGAAAACTTGAAACACCTACACAATCTTTGTATTACATATATTATTTGTAAAAGAACATAAAAATACTGTAATCTTTGATGAATAAACAAGAGAAAATAAAGAAAACAAAGTTGGTAGATGTAAAAGTGATATAATTTATTAAAAAAGTAACAATTGGCATTTTATTAAAAAATTTGGTTAGCAAAAAGAAAACAGCCGATAAATCAATGGGCAAGCATACAAATAATTTCTCAGCACTAAAACTGACTGCAATTCATGTTCTGTGAACAATCATGATAACGGTCAGCAATTTAAATACAAAAAGGTAGCGTATTTTATGATACACCAGCAAAATAAACAGCCACGCTGCAAAATAATTATTTGGGTATTAAGATTATACTATTGAACAGCAATGAAAACTTTTAAATTTTTATTAAAATTATTTAACTCATTCTTTTGTAATTTTACTGGAAGTATATTATGATCAGAATTTTATATTTTAATATTAGAGTTTGGCAAGCGAAACGTGACACCACCTATTTTTCCGTTTTCATATGGCAACAACATAGAACTGTCAGTTTGACACTACGTTAGACAATTCAAGAATATTGAATTTTGTTGTTTTTGCGAATTTGAACTTGTGTTTTTGGTTAAAAATTATGTCGAAGCCGATAAAAAGTTCATCGAGGAAACTTCTTTCCATCATGATTGACAAGTTTACTGAAGTGAAAACTGAATTAAATAAAAATTTCATGGAGAAATTACAACGATTAGATAAAGTTGTATCTTTTTTAGGTTAGTTTTGTATTATAATTTTGATACTTTCGTTTTAATTTTCTGTAATTAACTAAACAGATATTTTTTATAAAATATTGCTCTATTTCAGATAACTGTGATGGTGATATTCAACCAATAATGGAGGAGATAAATGCAATAAAAACTTTAGAAAAACAAGAAATGCTGAATTCGGAAACGCAGTACTTACAAAAAATTTCTTCAATGACAGGTCTCTTTTCTTGTTTTGATTTAAGATAGATTGATAGTATTCCTATAATATTTACATAGGTTTTTTATGATGTATTGGTTTTTATTGTTGACATCCAATGATGTCATAAGAATGTTTTGTTTAACAAGGAAATTCACAGAATTCATGAAACTAATCAAACCATGTAATTGTTATACATGCTAAATATGCACATAAACTTAACTAAATTAAACATAAATTGCATTCATAGTTGAATAGGTATTTAAATTATTTTGATGTATGTGTCTATCATTATTTGCTTTTAAATACATTTAACATATCTTTGTTTCAAAGTGTTTAATCTTTTATAGATGTAAGTATAAGGACACTAAGAAGGATAAAAAATGAAGCATTAATTAATAAAGGAAAATGGGACACTCCTGGGAAAAAACGACCTCATCAACCAACAGTGTCTGCTTTAGATAATTTTGATTTAAGTGCAATTCGGAATAAAGTAAATGAATTTTACTGTGTGAAAAAAATTGTTCCAACATTAAGAAGCCTTCACAATGAACTAAAAGATGCAATAGGATTCAGTGGTAGCCGTGAGACTTTACGAAAAATTATGCTTAAGAATGGATTTTCTTTTAAAAGCAATGAAAATGAACGTTCTATGCTTATAGAAAAATACCAGATTTCTGCATGGAGGCACAAGTATTTGAGAGAAATAAATATAAAACGAAACGAAGGAAAGCAAATTGTGTACCTTGATGAAACTTATGTACATCAGAATTATAAAGTTAAAAAGTCTTGGCAAGGACCTTCAACAACTGGTGTCACTACAAAGATATCCTCTGGAAAACGGCATATTGTTGTGCATGCTGGATCTGAGGAAGGTTTTGTGCCTGGTGCATTATTAGTGTTCAGTAGTAAATCCAAATCTGCTGATTATCATGATGATATGAACTCATCGAACTTTATGAAATGGGTCAGAGAAAAATTAATACCAAATTTAAGTAAGCCCAGTGTAATTGTTATGGATAATGCCAGCTACCATATAAAACAAATCAATAAACCGCCTATAATGTCTAATACCAAAGCAGATATCCGTAAATGGCTTGTAAATAATGGAATACATTTTGAGGAATATCAGACAAAGGCAGAGTTAATGTGTTTGGTTAATGATAAGAAAACATTGCCTGTATATGAAGCTGAAGAGATTTTAAAAGAACATAATCATGAACTTTTATTGCTGCCACCGTATCATTGTGACTTAAACCCAATAGAGATGGTTTGGAGTCAAGCAAAAAGAAAAATTGCAAGCAGAAACATTGGAATACCAGGAAAGGAAATGGAAAACTTAATAATAGAGTGTTTTAACTTAATTACCCCTAGTGACTGGAA